TACATATTAGATTTGGAGACGAGCCGTCGTGCCGTGCGGACGTGCTGTGCTCTGTTCTATCTATTCGCTGCGTTATTTGTTCACAGTCATTACAATAAAGCGTGTTCCTTGTTTTCTTAATTTGGTGTGCCTTTTATTCCTCCCGCGGCCTTCCGGTGCGCGTGCGCGAACGCGAGTGCGGAAGCGCGTACGTTACGCGAGCGAGTGCGTGAACGCGACATTCACCGCCCCGGGCGTAACAATATTATACATTTTGTAAATTGCATTTTTGTGTTATCTCTAAATAAAAATAATATAAATACTTATTCATAGATAACATAAATACTTATTCATATATTTTAAACATAGAGTAATTTGCATCTTATAGGTTAGATAGAAGATTAGACACTCAATTTTTTACTTACTTGTATTTCTTTAGATATTTTATTAAGAATTGCAACTTGCTACTTAAACATTAGCCGTTATCGTTTTGCACACAGCACTATTGTTGAGATGGCCGCAGGTAACTAATAACTGACAATTGTTAATATAGAACTTCTCGGCTCTTGCTCGATCACATTCGAAAAGGTTGTTTCACATTGGCCATGTTCAGCAAACAAAGCATCAATGAGCGCTTATAGTGATTCGCTGGATCTGAGTGAATAAACCAATCGTAACAAAGTCAATCACTGAGCGCTGACTAATCAGGACTGTCTGCTGAACGTGGCCATTGGCTATCACAATCGCAAGACATGCTTGTCGCGCCAATTAACAGTATTATTAACACTTCTCATTGACAGTGTCCAAAATTCACTGCCAGTGCTGAAAATCTATAGTTCACATATATAACGTAAATTATAAATTTTCAGTGCTGGCAGTGAATTTTGAAACACAACCATTGACATAAGAAGTCTAGAGTCAAAAAAGTCTAGTAATAATAGTAACATCAAAGAAAAAAACTATCGTTTAGGGAATAATCAAATTGAGAAAACATCATACGATAATTGATTTTATTAAATAAAAATAATTTATATCAAAATAATTGATGTGATATCGCCCATCCCTAGCCATAGTCAGTAAGAATCATTGTAGTAAGATTATAGTGTTAGCCTATAAGACCTTTGTTTTGAATAAATTGTCTTTGTTAACCCAATTGGTGTCTCATGCTTTCTTGCATGCCTGGCCCAACGAGCATCATCCGAGCGCAGAAAGAGCGTACCGTCACATGTTGATATAGAAATATTGAAATTGATGCAGATGTAGATATTGTCACATATAACAGTCCTTTGTTCGTAAAAATTATGATTTATTATCATAAACTGTTATCTAAAAGGTTGTAAATTTGGAATAAAAATAAAATTTTATTATTTTATAGCATTCTAATGCAAAACACATTTTTCATATAAAATGTAAAAAAAGTTGAATTTTTAAAAATAATAAAAAAAAATTATTTTAGATATTATTATATATTTCAAAAATTATATTTAAGATAAAAATATTTTAAGTACTGCAACCGCTTTTCTAAGCAGAAAGCAAGACTCGTTGCCGATCCATCGCTACAATCAGAGCGAAAGATAGTCGCGATTCCAATAGCTCATAATTATACGGCAATCGAAAACGCGAAGTTGGGCGCCAGGCACGAGCGGACGTGCCACTTTTCGAAATAACTGACCCGAATTACAATCACTGACATACGTAAGATATACGCTAGGAAACTACGATTTCGCGTGCGGCGCTGCGACCAGTTCGGACGTGCTTTTGACCGTTCCCGAGTTTCGTTTGTGCGACAAGTCTTCTTCTCGACGGGTAGTGTCTGGATATATTCCAGAAATTCCTCTCTTCCACGCGCGAATTCCTTTTCAACTGCGCCGGACGGCATTGTACGTTCTGACATGTCCGAGGCTTCGGCCTCGTGCTCGAGGGATCGAGACAAAGAGCCACGTGGCCGGCCATGTTCGGCTCCGGAACCCGGCGCTCTTCCCCCCTTAATGCTTCAGCCTTTATCAGTCTCACTGGAATAATTTAGCTCTTTTGAGGGAAATCTGGCCGTCTCTCAAATTCTTTCCCCCTCTGCTACCTCCCCTCACGCCCTCCCATTTTCACCTTTACACTCTTCTTCTCAAATTCCATCTCCCTCTCCCACCCCCCCTTCCCCTTCCTCCTCTGTGAATGCAAATGCGGGCGGTTTCGTGCTAGCGGATAACGTTAATAAAAGCATGTATTGTTCGGACGAAGAACTCTCTGCTTTGCAGGAGCAAGGAACGATCCTGTCCGGCGGAAAAAAAGGTAATAAGCGTACATTCAGCGACACGGAGACGTGCGCCCCTTCTACCAAAACCTCTTTGACTCGCTTTGCCGATGCTAACAGCTGCTGCAACAGCGGAGGAAGCCTCTCAGACGACGGTGACAGCTCACTCTCAGGTAAAGCTAAGACAAGAAAAGTAGAGGAAAAAGCAAACGCGTATGTAACGTCTGATCTGCCACCGTATGTTGTACACATTCATTTATTGTGTAATAGCAGAAACAATATGCCCCACCCGGTTAAGATTTTCGCAAATGTGGGCAAGGTTAGGCCCTCCCCAAATATAATCGAAATGAAGCGTCTTGGCATAGGTAAAATCCTTGTGGAATGCAGGACTGCAGCGGCTGCAAACAGGCTGGCTTCTAACCCGGACTTGGCGAACTATAACCTCAAAGCGGTCATCCCTAATTACAGGGTGCTAAGAACAGGAATCATTAGAGACATTCCTCAGGAATTTGATGTAGAAGAAATTAAAGCCTCTCTATCTACATCTCAGAACCACAAAGTCATTAGCGTGCACCGCTTGAACAGGAAATCTATTATCAATGGCTCAGTTCAATACGTGCCTTCTCGCACCATTTGTGTCAAATTTGCGAGGCAATCGCTCCCATCCCACGCGTTTCTTTTCTGGTCCAGACACGAGATTCACCCATACATACCAAAAGCTCGTATCTGCTACTCGTGCTACAGAATGGGTCATGTCAGTGCGTCCTGCCGCAGCCAGCCTCGTTGCATCTATTGTGGCAACTCCCCACACGGCAATGAGAGCACGTGTCTTCTCAAGGACAACACTCCTTGCTGCATTAATTGCTCTGGAGAGCACCTGCCGGTAGACGCTAGATGTCCGCTTTTAGAAAAACAGAAAAGAATACTCACTCTTTCAGCGGCACAAAATATCCCACTTATAGAGACCAAAAAGATGCTCAACTCGCCTTCCCCCCCCCAATTATAGCACTAACTCCTCCTTCACGTCGCTAGGTACAGGCTCCAGCAATCTCTTCGCCATTCTCACGACTAATAGATTTGATACTCTCAACAGGAGCAGTAACGAGGAATCTTACGCTTCCAATCAGCAGGGCTTGTATGCCCGGGTGGCGGCAGGTACAAGTTCTCGGCCGAGGCAGCGCATTCCACAACACTTCAGGAATCCTGTGGCTAGTAATTCGACATCTCCTTCCCCCGAAGGAACCCAAGCTCAGAGATCAGCGGCTGGTAGAAACCCTTCTTCTATGCCTAACGGGCGATTGCCTTCCTTCTCGGGCAACGGTGTTTGTCTACAACAGATCTATCCTCATACATCTGCGATGGGGACTCAAGGGGCGGGTCCTCCTCCCCAACCCCCCTTGGATAGGAATGCTAATAACGAGCCTGGCGGCGCCGGTTTTTTTGAGGTTTTGCTGGATCTTTTCGGATCATGCGGCGCGCTAGGTAACTCTAATCTTTCGGCTCTCATTAACAAGATTTTAACTCTCATCAAAATAATCTCGCCTTTCTTAAATCAGGTGCTCAACCTCTTTAATTCTTCTAGCCCCTCTTCTCAGCAACAGACGTTTTTTCAGCAGCATCCTCCGCAGGCCTCACACCCCTGGGATGGGGCAAACGGCTTTCACCAATATTATACTCCCCTTCTCCACTCCTCCCTCTGTCCTTTTCCCTACCTTCCCCTCTCCCCTTCCTTTTCTCTCCACATCCCATTCCCTTCCCACGCCCCTCCCACCCCTTTCCCTTTCCTCTCCTGATGCCTCTATTTCCCCTCCTTCCTTTTCCCTTTCCCCTGTCCTTCCCTCCCTCTCCCGTTCCCCTCCCTTTTCTCCAACCTCCCCCCTTCATCCCTCTCCCTACCCTATCACCTTCCCTCAATGTTCTCGTAATCGCTCTATTAGAGAGCGCAAGTTAAAGGTTCTGTCGTGGAACTGCAGGGGCCTGCGGGGGAGAATGCCTGACATTCAGCGCTTTGCTAGCTCTTATGATATTATCTGCATTCAGGAGTCTCTGCTCAACCCTTCTTCAAAATTCTGTCTCAAGAACTTTCGCATTATCAGAAAGGATAGATCAGCGATCGGAGAGTGTGGCATTTGTACGCTGGTTGGCTGTGATATTTGCTTTGAACATGTTGACGTCTCGTCTACCCTCCATGATTCAATAGAGGTGCAAGGAATTAAAGTCAAGAATGCGAGCCTAGTTATTATTAACGTCTATAGACATCCCAACAAACGCACACCAACCACTGTATTAACTGCACTTTTTGAACTAGCAAATACATATAACAACATCCTATTTGTAGACGATTTCAATGCTCACCATAGCTCCTGGGGCTGTGGCAAGACGGACGCAGTGGGTAGAAATCTGGCAGACGTTCTCGATAGCTTGAATATGGTCATTACCAACAATAGATCCCCTACTCTTCTCACACCTCCAGGATTTGCCGTCTCAATCATAGACCTGGCGATCGTCTCTGCTTTTTTGGCTCCCTTTTGTACATTCGGTAATTCGCCGGATACTGCAGGCAGCGACCACTTCCCCATCGCCATTCACCTGGGAGTAGATCTTGCCCAAAAAAAAAGGTTTCTATATAAAATTAGGCTAGATAAGATTCAAAGAGCTGACCTCCTTGTTCGACTATTTAAAGAATCACATCTTCTTGCGAATATTGAAGATTTTGATGAGGCGTCTACTAGATACTCTCGCTTCATTGAACTGATTAAAAATCAGGTATCTTCTGTGCTTCCAGACAGACCAATCTCTCCTCGCTCAAGATTCGTTAGTCAATTCAAAGCTTCGCCGGTGTGGTGGGACGAGGAGTGCCAGCGTGAAATCGATAACAGAGCTAAAGCTATGCGTGCTTTCAAGCAGCTATCAACGCTCAATAATCTAGCCAAATACAAAAAAGCCTGTACATCTTGTACCAAGGTGATAAACAAACGAAAGAGGGACAAATGGAAGGCTCTTTGCAACTCTTTTGACGGCAAAACTCCCACCTCCAAACTTTGGAATCTTATTAAATCATTCAGGAATAGGAATCTTATTCTTAGTAATGAATCTCCATGCCCTGCACAAGTCATCGACCAGGCTATTTTCAATTTGTGTCCCGACTCTTGTCTAGACGGGAATTTACCATCTTTTTCGCAAATGAAACTACAAAATGCGAATTCACCCATAGTAATCTCCTTTCTTAACAAAGATCTTTCAAGGAAAGAATTGGATCTGGCTATGAACTCCTCCAAGGTCAGATCTGCTCCGGGGCTGGATCAGATCAATTATGAATTGCTCAATCTACTCACGGAAACGTGACAAACTTCTTGATATTTTTAATGATATTTTTAAAACGGGTTCCTTTCCGGAAGAATGGAAGACAGCCTTAGTCACCTTTATTCCCAAAAGCGGCGGTAAGGGACTTAGGCCCATTTCTTTACTCTCCTGCGTCTTCAAATTAATGGAGAAGATCATCTATTTTCGCTTGTGCTGGGCGGTTGAGTCTGGACCTATCTTGCCGGACTTTCAATTTGGCTTTAGGCCTTCTAAATCTTGTGCGGACAATTTAAGTACACTCACTATTATACATGCTGGCTTTCTAGAATCCAAGGTCACAGTCGCGTTTTTTTTGGATATCAAAGGGGCATTTGATAACGTTATCTTGTCTATTCTTTTACAAGATCTCTTGGATATTGAGATCCTTGCTAATATACGAATGTTTGTCAAGAATTTCATAGCGCAAACCAAAATCTACGTCGTTGATAATGGATCTCTATGATCCTTTCATCGCGCACAAGGGCACTCCTCAGGGCTCTTCTCTTAGTCCCTCCCTCTTCAATCTATATCTAAGACTGATAAGGGCTCAGGTTGCCAGTGAGGTGCAGATCTTACAATACGCGGATGACATTGTCATTTTTGCCACGGACAAGGAGGTGCGTAATGCGGTCGATTCTTTGCAATCTACTTTGAACAATCTCCGGGAATTCCTTTGAACCAGGGGGCTGGAACTCTCACCTAGCAAATCTGCTTGGATGATTTTCTCCAAATCAGGTACCGCCTCTTCTTCCCAATTTATGGACCTCTCAATCAATGGACAATCGATCCCCAGGGTTTTTTCCTTTCGCTTTCTGGGCATAATCTTGGATCCTTCCCCGAAAGGTGAGGCTCACTTTAAGTATCTTATACAAAAAGGCAAAGCCTTTTGACTGATGCTATGGCCGCGGTTGCGTGCACCAAGTGGGGCGCTCAACCGGAATCCATGCTTTGCTTGTATCGAGCCATCTTTAGAGGTGCCATTGAATATGAAAGTCTCATATTCCGGATCAAAGGAAATAGAAAGATCTTTCTCAGACTGGAGAGGCTGCAATATCGAGCCATTAGACTGTCATTGGTTTACAGAATGTCAACTCCGATCAATGTTATGCTAGCGGAGGCCAAGCAGGTGCCATTAGAAATAAGATTTAATTACCTTACCGACAGATTTCTTTATAAAGCTTACTCATCCAAGTTTAACCCGGTTATTCATAGCCTGTGTCAACTGGAGTCTCTCTCCTCTTCGACTGCCTCTATGGAAAAAGCGAGAAGAACGATCCCAACGTTTTCAAGATACATTGCCACCAAACATGTTTTAAATTCCATGCATCGCTCATCGTTTTTTCCCGCCTTTTATTACGACTACCATACATCCATCTATCGGAAGGACATCGATTTCAGCATGCCAATCGGGCAAAAGGACTCCTCATCGACGGAAGTCTTGGCCAAGTTTCAAGAATACTATGCGAATCTTCCGCTGGAAATAACGGCTTTCTACACGGCTCGAAATCAGACAATTCATCTATGGTAGGAGCAGGTGTGTTCTCTCCTGATCTGGGGCTTTCTGTATGTGATAAGCTTCCTTCAGCTTCTTTTATCTTTTCCGCGGAGGCGTGGGCCATCCTGCAAGCCATCAATGCATGCTTGGATCTGGATATAGTTAACGCAATAATCTTTTCAGACTCTAAAAGTGTTCTGGAGACACTGGCCTCAGCGAACGGCAACCATGGCAATCATATCATCCACCAAATTAAGAACAAGCTCTGTCATGCGAACTCTCGTAAATTCAACAGTACTCTCTGTTGTTACCAGCCCACAAAGGCATTCATGGAAATGAAGAGGCCGACAGAAGGGCCAAATTCGCCGCTTCATATGGAAAAAGACCCTTCTTTGAAGTTCCTTACCCGGATCTACAGATTGAGGCCAGAGAACACCGCTCTACATCTTTTAAGAATTATCTGGAGTCAACAGCCTTAATTAAGGGCGTCCAGTATTTTGATCTTTATCTTAGTCACTCTGAAAAACCTTGGTTTCATAACAAAGGATTGAAGAGGGAAGAAATTGTCTGCATCTCTAGGATAAGAAGCAACCACCATAACTTACTTTACAGCCTCCATCGAAAAAATATCGTTGACTCTCCTGCTTGCCCTTGTGGTGACCCCCGGCAGGATATTAATCACATAATTTTCTACTGCTCACTTTGCATTCACAAATCTGGAAAGCTCCGTTCCTTTATTAAAAAGAATTTTTTTTATCTGCAATTGATCTTTTTC